CTTGTAAAGTCCAGATTTTTTTCTGCCATTGCAGTTTAAATCTGCAACCCAAGTATTACTCGAGTGCATAAATGCAAAAGAAAGAAAAATAGAAAAAAAAATGCAAATTGTATGTTATTTTGAAGCCAGAAAATACCGTGTTTTTCTAATATATCCAGAGATCCATAGTATGCTTACTTTTCAGTGATCCATCACAGTCCGCAAACTTCACATACTACGGCCGTACAGCCTGTTAACGTACCAAAGACACCTCAAACACTCTGCTTATTTCTTGGCGTTTTAAGCACTATTTCAATTTTGCACAAAATATAACATAAAATAAAATAAAAAATTGTTCAGTTAGAAGGTAGAGCTAGTTTGAACTTTCTGAAGGCGTACAAGCGTACCACAAGCCATCCATTTTAAGAATGCTTCCTCAAATCCAAGAAGGTTAAAACTCAGAGGTTCTAAAAGTGACAAATTCTTGTGAGCGATTCCTAATTAAATTGTTTGGTGGCGTTCGTGCAACTGATAAAGTTAATAGCGTTTACCATGACCCCCGCAGAACAAAAACCTCTATGCTTTCATATGTTGATGGCGCGTCATCACAAAATGCTCATCGTCCCAGATTTCTGTTTTTATACTTCTTCAAATTCGGAACTAAAATTTGAAAAGCAGTAAAGCCTTAAAGTGGCTGCGATGGAAGATTTATAAAGCATCTGTCGATGTTTTACAGGTTCGTTTTTTAATGTATAATTTTGAAATAAATTTTGTGCTGTTATACTCAACATTTTCTGCTTAAATTTGGTAATTCAAATTATAATTGCGGGAAAATTGCAATTCATATCAAAGTTGAGGTACATTAAATTGCTGCATTTGGAAGTGGCACAGCTCCGGGTGCGATCGTTTTGAGGATGTACTACAAAGGAACAAAAAAATTGTGGTCTTTCTTGATAAGCGGGATTTTGTTGCTTTATTCACATTAACTGATATTCAGTATCAGTGCTTATACCTTTAGTAAGGATATTACACGTCGTCTTCAAAATACGGTTGAAAATTTCTTTAGGCGTTTTTGTAGCGGTTTCTTCATTTTGACTGTACAAAGCGGCTTTGGTTTGATTTTTTGATGTATTGGTCGGAGGTGGAAGAAGGTTTTTGCTTAAAGTTATAGAAGTTGTCAGACAACCGAAATTTTGACTTAAACATTCTTAGAGCGTTTTTTAGTGTTACAAACTGCGGCTGTTTTTGCTTGAAAAATTCTGCTTTGAAGGTCCCATAGATGCGATCCCGTGTTATTTACAAAAATTAACTCTTTTTAGGGTCACTGGTCTTTTTTTCCAATTCTCCTGTTCTAAGCACTTTTATTTAACTAACAAGAATTTGCTTCGAAGTTACTTGCATTGTGTTTTTTTTTTTAATAAAATTTTCGGTTTTTATAGTACTGCATTATAAGATTTCAGAGTAGAAGAGAATGGCTCAGAAACAGAAACAGAAACCATCCACATCAGCAGCTGCTATTAATGAAATACATGAGGAAGTGGAAGCAGAACAGCTACCGTATAACATAATCGATCGTTTAGAGGTTTTATAACTTTTTTCTAAATAAAATTCATATTTCCTGGTATACTTTTTCTTCATTTAGCAAAGCGGCATTGCTGCAGCAGATATCCGTAAGCTAAAAGAAGCAGGTTTTCATACATGCGAGGCTGTGGCGTATTCCCCTCGTAAAGACCTTATTGCGATAAAGGGCATCAGTGAACAAAAAGCGGAAAAAATTTATGTAATGATCACTTTATTTATTAATCAAAGTGAGGATTTGGATAATAATGCTGTAGACAGAAAAAAGTAATTGTCATTTTGCAGCTGTGAGGGAATTTTGCTTATTGCAATTTAAGTTTAATACCATGTGACAGAGAGCACTTATTAGTCTTTGACTAAGCTTCACTGGAAGATTTTTTGCTTGTAGATGGAAGCTGCAAAGTTGGTTCCAATGGGCTTTACAACTGCAAGCGAAGTTCATGTCAAGCGTTCTGAGATAATACAAATCGATACTGGTAGCAGAGAACTAAATCGGCTTCTTGGTGGTGGCATTGAAACTGGTTCTATAACAGAGGTTGTTTTAATGTTGTTGATTTGTTTCACACTGTATCTTTATGTTGTTTCATCCAAATCCTTTTATCAATAATTTTTTAAGATTTTTGGAGAATTTCGTACAGGCAAAAGCCAGATATGTCATACTTTGGCTGTTAATTGTCAATTACCAATTGATATGGGTGGAGCTGAAGGGAAATGTTTATGGATTGATACAGAAGGCACTTTTCGACCAGAAAGGCTGCTTGCAGTCGCTGAAAGGTCTCGTTTCAACTAAGTTTTTCTTTTATTAAATTTATAGGAACTGTTTTAGTTTTTGTTATAGAACATTTATCTTCTAGATACAAGTTATCTGGGCAAGATGTTCTTGACAACGTTGCATATGCACGATGTTACAATACGGATCATCAAATGCAGTTGCTCGTTCAAGCATCCGCGATGATGGCAGATTCAAGGTTTTACTAATTCCTAATTTAGTGTGCCATATTAATATTAACCCATTCAAATTTTATAGGTATGCTTTATTAGTTGTGGACAGCGCAACATCTCTTTTTCGTACGGATTTTTCTGGCCGGGGTGAACTTGCCAGTCGCCAAATGTTGTTGGGTAAATTTATGAGGGCTCTTTTAAAACTTGCAGATGAGGTAAATACACTTCATTTTAAGAATTTTTTGTAATTTGCTTATAAAAATTGCTTTTGTTTGTGACATAGTGTTTATTCTGCAAGAACTTTATGGAGGTGGCAGTGTTTTTCTAACCCTACTGTTATAATGATTACGCAAAAAGCAACCAAAATTCTAGTTTTCCTTTTTATTTGTAGTTTGGAGTTGCTGTAGTAATTACAAATCAAGTTGTTGCTCAAGTTGATGGTGCTGCCAGTATGTTCCAAGCGGATGCAAAGAAGCCAATCGGTGGTCATATAATTGCTCATGCGTCTACAACCCGGTAGGCTTTCTCGGCTTACTAATTTCTGAAAAGACTACTGTGAACCCCTCCTTTCAACTAAATCTTATTGAAGGCTCTTTTTACGCAAAGGAAAAGGGGAGACTAGAATCTGTAAAATTTACGATTCTCCTTGTCTTCCAGAAAGTGAAGCTGTTTTCGCGATAACGACTCATGGAATCGATGATGCCAAGGAATAGTTGTGTGAGATAATGTTAAGAGTTTTATTTTATGTTAAAATTCAGTTTTACTGCGAAGCGGTATTTTGCTAAT